TCATCCTCGGGCTCCACGTAGAGAGGCACGGCTTCGTCCTGCATGGAGTTTTCCGTGGAGAGGATGCGGGATCTGATGATGGAGGCCAGGGACTCAGCCATGACCTCTGCCGGGCACCTCTTGCCTGCAAGRGTGMTGTACGGCAGAGMTGTCACCGTATTCCATGCCCTCCACACCAGTCCATCGTGCAAACTTGCTTTTTCTTCCATTTTTACTAGTATCGGTTCGAAGGACTTGGCTGAATCGGGATCCTGGTCTGTCTCTTCAGGGTTCTCTGTATGAAAGGAGGGGATTCCGAAGACCCCCAAGGGGGAATCTTCAGAGATTCCTTCTCTGATGGTTCTGGCCAGTGTCCGCTGGTCTCCGACTGTCGGAATGGCAAAGGATACATCGGTGGCCACTTGCCATTCTCCGAATTTCTTCCTGTAGCGGACGGGGACCAGGGGTCTGACAGCCCTGATGGTCTTGCAGTCAGAGGCTGATTTCTCATTGACATGAGGAGCCTTGTTCTCAGCGACATTTTGGATTGTGCAGTATTCTTTTTTATTTTTTTTGCGGTATTCCTCGTTCTGGTCGAACAGGCATTTGGTCTGTTCGTCGACAATGGCTATCTCTCGTTTGAGGGATCTCTGTTCGCTTTCTTTGCCCATGGTGTGTAGCTGAGATTTTTTTGTTCTTTTATCCCTGCCTTTCGACGGTTTCCACTTTTTAGGGACCATATCTCTGATCGGGTCCCTGCTGGACTGTGTATCTGCGCTGGACTCCGATTCGTCGCCCGAGGCTTCTCTTTCCCTTTTCTTCTCGTGGTATCTGAAGGCGCTGATTTCCGAAAGCTCGCTCTGCTGTCTCAGGACATCATACAAGTTTGTTGATGTGTGAATGCCTGCTATAGAGGTCCTGTCGTTTCTACCCGTCTTCTCCTGATGTTTCATGCACGCCACCCGGATGTCGAACTCCTTCTCCCTCTCATTTTTGGCTTTTTCCAGGTATTCCTGCAGCCACGGGATGGGGGAGTCTCCCTTGTCTTTTGATCTCCCTGCCTGGTCCTTTTTGGTAGGAGATATGTCCAAACCTCTCTGGGACAGGTCGTGGTCCATTTCTGGCCTGGGGCCTGGCTCCGGAAGGGTTGTGATCGCCGGAGGGGTTACTTCCTTCTGTGTGTATACTGCCTTTTCTTTTTTTGTTCCCGCTGGATTCGTCATTGTTTGCTTTTTGGGGGGAGGCCTGTCTTTTGAGAGAGGGGTCGGTCAGTGGATAGCGTCCGTCGATAACAACCTTCCATCTTCTATTATATTGTTTCTCTATTTTTTTTGTTTTATGGATGCTTTGTGATGATTCTTGGATGGAATAGAGAATTTTGGGTTTTTTAACACACACACACACACACACTCACACACACACACTCACACACACACACACAAACAAGCATGGCCATCTTGGACACACACACAAAGAACATCACTGAAGGATGGGTTTGAGACTTGAATTTCTAATAACCTGTGCTGCAGCAGGTGCGTGTCTGTCAAGTGGATAGTTAATGTCAAAAAACAACCTTTTTCGCTCTTCGGTAGTTCTGGATTGCATATCCCTGTCAAACACGCCAAAGCCGGAAAAAAGATAATTAAGCCTCGCTGAAAGCCTCAAAGATTGCTCAATATGTAATTAGTGAGAATACGAGGATTAGGCATTAGCCATGTCAAATTCTACCCAGTGCTCTACATTCAGTGAGAGAGAGGGTCAAACATGTCAGCGCCCCTGATCACCAGCCTAATCAATATACTCAGACACCTGCAAGCAAGGCTCATGTGCGATTTTCTTGAGAATTGGCTCGAGTTCAGTTTGGCCATTTTCTTGAAAATCCCATCGAGTGACTCCAGGTCGTGAAAAATAGAAGACATATGCTGGGCTGGAGTATGCAAATGTCAATCACAAAATATTCAGCAGTTCAAAGTTCAAACCCGGTGGTAAGCAATGATGCTAGATGCTGTCCACCGAAATTCGCTTCACGCGAACTTTGCCGCAAACGGTAAATGTAAGACTGCCAAGGGTTAAAACAGACGCTCACGGAACAAGGAGAACAGAAGTGCTCAATCCTCCTCTTTCCTTGGCATTCCTCTTTTTCCCTTTCTCCATTCAACACAAATGGGGCACGTCCTCAAATTTTCCCTTCCTCCGCGCGACACAAATGGGGCACATCTCAAAAGTTAGATGGCAAATGCAAACAGGAAGGAGGAGCTTTGTCAAGATACAGGGTACTCCCACTTTACATTGGAAGAGTAGTTCAGAAAGATACAGGTGTATTGAAAGAACACTGCTTCACAGTTGATCTGATATTACTTGCTAAGTTCTAACCCTTCATCACAAAGGGAGAGGGGGCGGGAAAGATATAAAGCTCTTTATAAACTAACTCAAATGATTGCGAGTTCATATCCCAAGTCACCCAAATATCATGATGAAGGAGACGTACAACGTACAAACCTGTCCCCCAGTAGAAACAAATAAGCTACAGCCAAACTTACACACAGCATGCATAGACAACAAGTGATGATTGGGTGCAGAGGTGGCTAATATGTGCCATAGACGCATAGTGCCATTTTCTGCTTGCCAAGGGTGCTGTTATTACATCACACGGGAAACAAGTTAGCAGACAAATTGACAGCAGGGAAACTCCTATGTATTACCGTGTAAAGCAGAAATCGAACTCATGATTTAACTACCAACAGCAACATAAGTGCCATAGTGCCATTTTCCGCTTTGTAAGGGACCCTGTTATTACATTGCATGGGAAACAAGTAAGCGGACAGCAAGGAACTCCTAATATTACTATGTCAAGGAGGATTCAAACTCATAATCTATTTAAGAACAGCAACTTGTGTGTACCATTCAGCCATTATGTCTGGGTACAGACTTACTCTTGTTTATTAATGTCCTTTATTGAGGAGAAGATCTCATAAAGCGACTGCAAAACATCAGTGACCTTCGCTTTGTTTTCCTTCTTCTCAGGTTCATCCTGCAGAGAAAGCAGTAGAACAAGGATGACATTTGTTCAGGCGCACAGAGACCGTTTGGAATGGCAGCAATAAAGCAAATGCTTCAGGGACAAGGTAGTTCTGTAGAACTCACTCGATAGCAAATCCATCATCCGAATACATTCTGCACCAGTCATATCTCATGCCATTTCCCACCAGCTAGCACTAGTACATGTCACATGTCACCAACCATGGGGCATGGCTACCCTGCAACACTCCGATCAAGAGAAGTCTGTTACAGCCAATCCATCATTATCAATGTGCGCTAAGAGACAAACGAGGGTGGGGGAGGGGGAGGGGGAGGGGGAGGGGAGGGAGAGGGAGCTAGGTTTGTGCTAAGAAAACATGAACCTGGCCATTTACGCGACAAGGCTCAGACATAGCATAAGTGTGGCCTACGGGTTGAGGATCAGAATGGTCATCACAGTGGTAAACATGTGCAAAAATGTAAGAGAAACCTCGAATTAAAAGCACATAAAGCTCTCACGTACAAGCATTGACAAAGCACCAAAACAAACGAGTAGAAGTGACAATGAATTTGATCACAAAGAGACCAGGCTCTTATGCCTAAGGGTGCCGTTTCGATTCCGTGCATGCATGGATGGATCCAAAGATGTTGACAATATTGATGTCTCTTGTCTCTTGATAAAGGAAGCCCCCAAGTCGCCTCCAATCAATGATAGAATAGCAACAATTGCAACACTTTGAGACCAATGTAACCAACCGAATCTGATAGGCTAAGGTATGCTCAGCTCGTTGCTGCTCCCAACAGTAACTGGATGAAGAGACGTACACTGCTGAAGCTCTCCTGGCATCCACGAGTTATACCCCCTTCCACTCTCTCCTCTCCACACTGCTCTTCCTACTCTCAGGATCTCCACTTCTCCTCTCTCTCTCTCTCTCTCTCTCTCTCTCTCTGTGTTACATGCCCAGTTGGGCGATGTACATACAAAACCGAGGATCCGCAATGTGATAAAAAGGACTGAATGGACAATGCAGTGCAAGTGGAAGACTTAGATACAAACAAAATGGTGCTTTATAGCGCAGGGAAGACTTAGATACCAGTCCTGACCTGACCGAGACTGACCTCTATCGCGTAGTGCAAGACAGCGCAGCAGAACGCTAGAATACCAATGACTAGCCCAATCAATGTTGCAACGCAGACCAAACATACATCATGCTCCTCACAAGGTGTGGAGGGGCCTGGCGCTATACACAGGAAGGAGGCGCCAAGTCCAGACATACACAGACGAAGAGGAGGGGATCAGACGAAGAAGAGGGAGGGCGACATGGGAAAGTCGTCAACACCAAGTCTCGCTACAAGTCCCAAATAATCCCTCTTCAAAATGTCTGAAGTCCAATGTCGAATCTGAATGCAAATGGCCTGCTGCCTCACTGTTCATGGAGATTATGCAGCTGGTTTGGCCACCATGCTGTTTCATTGGCCGGCATCCCGACTCGCGGACTTACGAGAGCAGCAACTTGTGACATGGATCTTTGCATCAGTCTGCRACTTCCTTGCTTCCAGATCAGACCTCATTGCAGTTCGTGTACCGGACGCACCCTAGCGCTTGGACTTTGACACTACGACTACGCTTCTTGGACT